CTCTGTCTCATTTTACAATATAGACTTCGGCAAATCACTTCCTTACACACAATTTATTTCACCTCTGTATAGTGAGTTTTTTAGCACTCAATTTAAGGTATTCTGAAAAATAAATAAGTTATTGTATATAAAGGCATATCAGAGTGTTAAACACATAAGCAGTTGAAAATAGTTGTGACACTGTGGATTAAAGCACCAGACTGCAAACCTGTTTGAACTGCAAGGTTGGCGGTTCAAGCTCACTAGCTGTTCCTCGGAAACCCTATAAAGGGTCGCTATGGGTCAGAATCGACTTGGCAGCACTTCACAACAACAAACTAATATACAAAAATGTCTCCTGAATGTGACCCTATTCCATTGCACTCACATGCTGTGAGGCTCTGGGTACATTGACTTCCAAATCAGTACTTTATACTCAGAGGTTATGTATTCTTTATGCTCAAAGTTAATACTTACTAGCTTTAGTTGGCTAATGAACTATATCCAAAGCCAAACTTTCACTAGTACCAAGTAAAGATGAAGAATCACACACTGATATAATCAACTGGAATCATAATTCAACATTTGAGAAGTAATATGGAAGGAACAAAGGAGTATGCATGTAAGTCATGGCAGCCATGGTACCATTTGAGGTTGGAGGCAGAAATTAGTCAATTCAGCTTCCATGGCCAGCTGTGAGAAACCAGTCAACAATTTAAAACAAACTGTCATAGGTGCTATTTTCAGGAGATATGCCACTGACAAGGAAGGCTATCTGACATGTGTATACTTTAAAATATTTATTTTTACCTTTTCTACATCTCCCAGTCCCTCGGTGTCAAGCAGAACTAGGCTGTGGGTTGGCCTATTGGGATGAGGCACGCACCACATCCAAATTCCCTTGGTGTGAGACTGCACTGTGGAGCCCAGAGCGAAGCCTGGAAAGCATGAAATCAGATGTTTTTGATTGGAATGTTAATAGAAGTTGGTTCTGGATATTGAAATAAAAGTTAATGTTATGAAGAAATAGCTAAAAACCACAACCAGTATTGATCTTAATTACAATCAGAGAACAATGAAATAAGAATATCAATCAATAGATTGAACTATTTTTCTTTACCTTAAATATCAGTGCAAGCTGGATATTACCACATAACATAGTAGTAAATGCCTTAAATTTCATTTTCATCTCTATTAATTTTTATCATTGCCTTATTCAATCCAGGAAAGTTTCATTTATACCATTAAAAGGGGAAAACTAAAGCAAATGGTAATGCAAGAGTGAGCTCATTCTTATCCTCCTGAACAGAGTGAAGATAAAAATTTCAACCTTAAGTTAACCTTCAATATTTATCCCACCTCTAAACTTTCCCATTTAAACACTATATATGATGTTGGGCAGTTTGAGTGAACAGGAGGTACCGGCTTGAGCTTTGGTGGTACAACTCACCCTTTTTCTTCCCAGCCAACTTGTTCATCAGGTAGGATTTGCCCGTGCGGTAGAGGCCCACAATAGCCACCACCACAACAGGTTGTGTAATGG